AAATTTCCTTATGACTTCTATATAATTGTATACATTCAACACGTTCCAGAGAACGATGTTCTATAACGTAATTACATTCCCGAGTTAGACTCAAAGGTAGTTAATTCGAATCTATAATAATTTACACCACTTCAGAACTTTTTAAAACTTTGAGCGTTCTGACTGAAACACCGATATAATAACATAATATCCCTGGCCAATTCACAAAACGCCATGTGGTGCCGAGGTAAGCAGTGTTATATGTAATATGTTATTAGTATTAGATAACCGATATTATAAAATATATATAGATATATTTTTTGTAAATGCATAATATATAATATCTATGTGTTCAAAATTTACCCTGTACCATCGTAAGCACAGATTATTATATTAGAGTCCGTTAGTTTCTGTTCCCGCGCTTTTCCTTCCCCCCCCCCCCCTACCTATGACAGAACTGACCGTACCGACCGAGTGAAACTTCTGGGAAACTGGAAAACTAGAGAAAAAATCTTCAAGACCCTGGCCTGTGTTAAAAGCCAAAAAAATCCCCAGATTACAGGTACGAGACAGACGCTTCCGCATAAAGTATTTTCCCTAACACTATGCATAATATATAGAAAACACGAAGACAGTTACAAAAAATCATATTCATGATTACAAATGTTTGTACCGTACAAGAAATCAAACGCGCGACTAAAGGAAGTAAAGCAGTATGCTAAACCGCCGCGCCGAGGCCGTCAACTGATGCCGATGTTAAATTAAATTAATCCTAGAGCCGAGAGCAGGATCGCCGGCCACCAAATTAGATTTAAATAGACGCAGCAAAATGTAGGCTAGTAAAGTACAGCCTCTACTATGAAGTCAAAGAGAATAAATATTATACAGAATAAACCTGTAACATGAAAGTAAACCTAATAATTAATATATTACTTTTAAAAAAGAACGATGAAACTTTTTTTGACTTTGTAGTTTAGATTATTATTTTTTTTGGTCAAGGTCACTATAACATGAAGTTGCGGGCACAGCTAGTAATTATATTTCATTTAAAAAAAATATTTGTTCAACAACTGCGCCAGATTTTCCCTGATCACGGGCGGTCATTGAACCTCAATTCGACAATCGCGCACTCAAGGCGATCGAGTTGTCAGGTGCATTTACGAGCATTATTGGTGTAGGAAGTGGCCGTTTGCAAGCAGCATTGTGGTAGGACGAGATACATGTCCTGTTCGTGGCGATATTAATAAATGGGTTGCTGTATCATCAAAAATAACCTATATTTACTATTGCGTTATACTGATGTCTGATGTATATATTGAAATCTGTAATTTCAAAATAATAAATTTTAACTAAATGCATATGCAAGAATGTATATACGGTAATTACATAAAAAATATGAAAAAAATGTCTATCAGTCTGTTTGTTCTTACTTATGTCTAAAACGGCTGGATAGTTTTTGAAGAAACTTACTTCTCTTGATACCTAACCTTATAAAAAGTAATATAGGTATGCTACATATATTTTAGTAATTTTATTTATTATAATAACATATCACGCGTCTGCGTGATATGTTATTATACGTTGTCTAACGTTGCAGGCAACACTTAGTGCTCTAAAAAAGAAGAGTATTAGAAATTCAAAAAATATTACATTGTTATTGTTGTTGACGTTCGGTGAGTACCTTTAAAATTGGTTTTTTTGCAAACATATGGTAATAAATATGGCGTGTTAAATAAATGTTATCATAGTTTCATAGAAAAACTTTTATGCTTTAAGTAACGCAAGACTCCTGTGGACGGATCGTGTATATTTTCCCGCGCGAACGTTGAGCGCCACAGATTATAAAAATTCTCGAGTTAAGCCGCTTATCATAGCTGTATGTCCTTTAGTTCTGAAGTACAAGTATGAGCACACCTTTACACGAGTCATAATAGGATTACTTTGCTTTATATAGCCCTCTGTGTGCCCGCGCTAAAAGCGTACTATTTTAATGGACTGCATTTTCAAGGCGGGCATACAAAGCAAATCCTATCACCGCTGGTATATTACGAAGTTTTGAACCCCGTCTACCCCCTCCGGTTGCAATTAATATCATCAAAGGGATATTACACAGCTACACAATTTCTGGACATGACACCCTTTGAGTAAAACATAAACTGACGACACACGACACTAAAATCGGGTGTAATAGGTAGCCTGTATCGCTTCCAGACATTGAAAAGGCTTCTGAGACGTGGACGTTATCTCCCTACGAGACAGACGGCGGAGCACCGTGAGATTAAGCGAGGCCCTGGATTACCTCCAGGTAAATCCAGGGCGGAGTTACCGACATCATCAAATGAAAGGCACAGCGGAAGTGGCGTTGGGCCAGCCACGTATGTCGCAGCAGCGATGAAAGATAGATATGTCAGCTGCCAGATGGTCTCATGACATCAAGAGAACGGCAGGACCGATCTGGACGAAGATACAGTATAGCAGTGAACTTATAAATGCTGAAGAAGAATCGTGTCCCAAATGAGGGCCGATCTTTTAGCATGCTCGCCCAGCTGATTTTGCCACCATAAAGACTGCTTCGATATAGGCCCTGATTTTAAGGGTCGTGTGTTGAACGTTTAACACATGTCGATGACGACGTATGCCTGCAGGGTGCATTACCTAATACCTAACCTACGTATTGTTTGATCGAACCTGCATTATAACCTGCGTATCCTGGTATATGGCTATGCTGCACATTGGCATCTGTATATGACAACTGAAATGGAAACCTTTGTGTTACATGGACAGATCCAATTAATTTACTGAACCGGATATCTAGAATATTGTTTGATCCGAAACACTGAAATGTAACTAGTTATATATACTACAGAGTAGTCTACAAAGATAGCGTGTTCAAATCGGAAATTTGTGTGTCAATTTATACTTCTAACTTATACTCCGGTGATGGGAACATTAATAACAAACAAGATTAATTATAGAGATGGCCTCTGCCTGCCATATTTAATTCAAAAATAGCAAATGAAATGTGGGTTAGTCGTGTTACAATGCCTCTGACTATGCCATCAGGGATAACAAGCGTAAAGGTATTTATAATATAACTGGAAATACAAACAGGCTGGTAGCCCGACTGCTAGTGCCAACGTCAGGATGTTTGTAGCACCGCGGCTGATTTGCTGTTCATTAGTTTCGTTAAAACACAAAAAAACCTTGAGTTAACGTGGACTAATACAAACTATATACAAATGTTTGTATCGATGCCGGAACCATTTTCAAGGGTTTTGTAATAATAAATATATTGAATTTTAATGTTATAAATACTTTTTTATCATTTAAATGTATACAGTTGGCGAAATTTTTTTATGTATAATAATAATATTAATTTAATTATTATAATATGAAAAAATGCGTCAAGTACGAGTAAAATATACAAGAAGTCTCAGTATTTTTAATATCAATATTCCGCCAGTATCTTACTACTAAGCACTATCAAGACTTTTAAACGAATACTTACTTATTTCTTTACAACTGTAACAATATTTTTCAAATAAACAATCGTTATCTATATACACAGACCCACCCAGGCTAATACAGTCATACACTTAGATACAAATATTTCATCGAGGTATCAAACCCGCGACCCTCAGAAGGCGTGGCAGTATGTTAAACCGCTACAGCATCAAGGTCGTCAAATTAAATGTGAAAGTGTGTATGTTTGAATGTTTACACAATCATTGAAACTGATCGAATATTGGAATTCTAATTTGCAGCATATCGTATCATATATTACCATTTCGTACATATAGGAAACACCGAGTGATATAACGGGTGTATTAATTGGATAGATGCAAATCTCCCTTCTGCCGTGATATCGGTCGTCGCGGGTAGATATTGACATTGTTCAGTGTAGTATAGGCAGCTACCTACAGCTGTACGCGAGTTATTTTGGGCCGACCCTGGGACCGTCTAGTCGTACATTCGGCAAGCAGTTTATTTTGACGAATATCTAGAAATACTCGTCATGCCTCTAACGCGAGTGGAATATCGAGTACGTTTCCTACAACTAATTGTGCTCTATTAGAATTGGCAAGCGTATTAGTGAAACGCACAGACATTCTACTGAAACGAAACGCACCATTACAGCAGTTTATATGACATAATGTGACATATATGTATGTGTTTGATAGAGTGAGAGAGCGGAACCTCGGGTAGTGGTGGTGGTGCAGATATTATTGGTATCTGTATTTCTTGAACAAAATACACACTTATAATTTAGTTCGCGTGATTTAAGAAATTTCTAAAATGGTTAAATTAATTAATATTTCGTCTCTGTATAATAGTAGACTTGATAGAGCAATACTAATAATGACAAAAATATTTTTTGAGCTTTATAATATATAATTTAGCTGTGACGCTATTTTCAGTCTATGATTGGACACAGATTAATAAGCAAATAGATAAAAATATCCTATATTATATTATGTTGCTGAAGTATATATAATTTTTACTTCAACTTTAGTTGAATCAACATCTATAGTTATGTCTACTGAATACATGTCGAGTTTCATTTGCGCTAAGTGACTGGGGGTAAATTAGTGTCAGTCGACCTGTTACGGTAGAGATCGTAGGGTGGATGGGATGCTGATCTTATTGAATACTTCGCGTTAGTTATTAATTAGACAAGATCTCTGTTACGTTGTTTATAGTTTTCATAATCACTGTACTTTTCTACTACACATATAATATTATTGAATGACTACAATGGAATAACTATTGAAATTTTAAAATGCACTTAAAATATTAGATTAATATCATAGAAAAAATTCAACACTAAATAGGTAAAGCTTATTACCTGTTAAGATATAAGTTTATAATTTACTTTATTTTTTTGCGTTTGGTTTGCCATTGACATTAATCCTAATTTAATAGTTTCTACACGTTTAACACGAATAAATGTAATGGTAAATATAGGCACATATTTCAGAAATAATAATTAATGAAAACCTATAAAGAAGCATCGCACTTACCTTCTTGTTCTGTCGGGCGGGTGTAAGCCCCACTTGGGATCCCATCTCCGCTAAAATATTCTTCGGCATGGTCACAGTTACAAATCACTCAAGTAACGAAATACTAGTGTTAACGTACGAGATTCACACGTGTTGTGGCCCGGGGAACGTGAGGTGCGCATCAAGCGCGCACTCTACCGAATGAGCGCGCGCGGCGCCCGCGCACCATTATAACACTAGGCGCCGCGCGTGACGTCACCGCCGGTCGCGATTCCGCTCAAAGCCTGCACCATAAAGCCTGACTATGTGATCGCTGGCGGTCTTCCGCTGATCTGATCTGATCTCATCAAGTTACCTTGTTATCAAAACCCTGGTACTCAATTCCGTTATTTACAAAAAAGCTGTTGGTAGCGGTTACATAGTCTTAATCTTTATCATAGTCGTTGGTTCGATCCTAGCGAGATACAAACATTATGGCGTGGCTGTTTCTATTGGTCACTGTGTTATGTATGTTTATTTGTACCCATAGTGCAATATAAACAAATATGTTTATATATAAAATATATTTATTATTCACAAATGTTCTTTTAAACCTGAGATTTCGCAAGTGGCATGTATTCATAAATAATTAACCCATCCCTTCCAGAGGTTTTCAGCATCTTTCAGCATCTCTAACAATAGATATGACATAAATTTAAAATACATAATAATAATATAATAACCTAAATAAAAATAACATTGAATTCTTTATGCAAATACCTATATTAATTTAATTACCACCCATTGGGGTTATTTTTATTCTATCGCGAAAATAAGTTTCTACACCAAGTCTAACAGACTTTTTTTGTTTCTGATAAGAAACTTATGCCCAGCAGTGAATAATAATAATAATAACCCAAAAACACAGCGCCATAGATACATCAATATTTACATGTATTTTAAATCAGTCTGTGGCATAATATTAAAATTTGACGGCCTCTTTGATAGCGATTATCGCGGGTGAGACTCCTCGCACGATGCACACACTTGTATTCATGAGTAGGATTGTTCGTATTGGTCTAGGTATGTATATATATATATATATATATATAGGTATATATATGATATATTTTATTTGCAAATTACGTATATTATAAAAATATTTAAGTATTTTCAGTTCAGTTGTTTAGTACCATAACATAAGCTCTGCTGAGCTTGGGACTAGATGGCGCGATGTGAATTCTCCGGGGTTATTATTATTATTTACCTTTATCTTATTTCTCCGTTAATATATTATTATAAATAATATGTTTTTATAACAATATATGGTATAAACTATTTGTTTAATATATATAAATTCCCGTACATGAACAAATAACGACATACACGGTTTTTTATCACACATTATCGCGGATGGCAATTTTCAGGCTTTTTACTGCTTTTTTATTTACTATGTTTTATAATTTACACTACTTTTATATACACGGTCGTCACTTAAGTAATTGACGCAATAATCACTTCGTGACTCACGGGATAATTTTTCCAAACCAACATCATCCAGGTATTTCCCCTATTTATGTATTTTAATTGTAAAGAAACTATGTAGACTATATTTCCTTACGACACTTACATCTATAATAATCTTGGCACCATCGTCGTTAATTCTTAAGGAATTCGATACCATATGCTTATTGACGAGAATTCATACTAATCCAATAGTGTTCTTGTTACCCCCGCTATATTATATGTAGACAGTGCACACAAGTATTCCTTTATAAAATAAAAACGAAACATACCTTACAACGTAAGCTTAGCGGCGTAAATATAATATCTGCCAATAAACTGACGGCTCACCTGATGGCAGGAGGTAATTGTCGCCGATATATATGAACAGTACTACGGATATCACGTGGTCATACAAGTGCAGGTGACAATGGTCATTTATTTATTAAATTAATACAATATATGAAAACAACTTACAGCTAATTGTCAACATGTTTATATCTTAAATTTAAATATACTATTAGCCCTACGGTCACCTGATTATACGCTCACATTCGTGCTACCTCATTCATCGCTTTATAGCGGGAGAACTAAGGTTTTTATTTTAACTATTCTAATGTCTATTCTAATTGACCGCAGCTGGCCTTTACAACTTCATAGTCAATTCAAAACAAGTGCAATCGGCACCAAACACGCGGAAGGACTTAGGCACGACTTTAGTCTGAAGGCACCGCTAGGGGCTCTATTTTCGGCTCAGGCCTGATTTCGATCCGATCAACAGTTTGAAAGCACTGTTTTGTAAGTGATGAGATGAAAATGTGGAGGAAATAAGAAAAGCTTAGGCTAATGTAGCGTGAATGTTGAAAAAAAGAGCTGAGGTATTTAATGAAATGTCTACTCATGTAACAGGATATCATTACTCTTAGGTTACAATTATTATGGAGACACTGATGTAAAAACCTAGATGAGTGAGTAGACATTATGAGTTACCTACTCAACTAGAGAATTGCAGTAGTCCTATTATATTTAATAACTCTATACTAGTGTAAAGATATTAAATATTAATGAAAAGCGTTATTGTAGTTGCCAGAATGAAAGACGTACAACTTTGTTAAGACAGGCAAATTTCAGGGCCGTACATTTTTAAATGCTATAGATATAATTGATGATTATTTTATTAGGGATATTTTATCGAATGTTTGATGTTCAAATTGAAGAATGTTATTTAATATATAGAAATTGATAAATTGTCAAAGTATTGTATTATTGTATAGTCAGCCTTGGTGGTCCAGCGGTTTAGTAAAAGGCTTTAATTCCGATTGTGGTGAGTTTGATTCCTCCTCCTCAGCGTCGTCGACACGAGCTGTGCACATTGAACCTGATAATATGAGCCCAGATTTACTAGTTTTAGTCAGACGAATGGCATTATGCAACCTTATTTCCATTGGCGCATTAACTGCTACGCCGCGCTCTGTATATAAATGCGCTAATCGGATATGATAATTGTCCAATTGAAGCGTAAAATATGTCGTTAAATTTCGAACTACCCGCTAGAAATTAAAAAACCGTCGTGATCATCTGGGCACATGTCAGTCAGTACTGTAACGTGCCTTTCTACCATGCACATTCACATTGTGGATATTACCTTCAAGAAAATAATTTATTCCTATTCTCTCACGGGCGACGGTAATCACTTACCATCAGGTTTACCGTAAGTTCGATTGTTGCGTACGCTACAAAATAATGTGTGAGGGGGTGAGGGGGTAGTAGGGATTAATAATCTTTATTAACAATGTATCCTAAACAATCATTACATCTGGAAACCATCGATGTCAATTTCTTCTGATTTTACTATAAAGTTAACTGCCCTGACGAAATCTTCTTCCTTAGTAGTCCTGAGTAGTCTTCCTGTCATCTTCTACAGGCGCCTCGTCCGCGCATACCGTTACTGCAGCCGGTGCGTCATTTCATTGGCAATCATTAAAAAAAGAAAAAATGTGTGATCTCACTTAATATTACCGACACAGTTATCTTTACCTGCAGTAAACACACGCGTTAAAAGTAATTAAAACAAACCTATTACTGGTATAATCAAGCGTGGAACATTTTTAGTATTTGCCCTACATTGGACATAATTAGATCTCGCCGAAACCACTATTGTTTTTGTGACATTCCTTTAAGTTCCGTATATTTGATTTATTATCTTAACAGCCTATAATTTTAGCACCTTAAAAATTAATCTGTATTTTGTTATCATGTATAAACTCATTTGAAAATATTGTGAGCTGAGTTTCTTGTCAGTTCTTTGTAGCTCGAAAGCACTCCGAATAGACCGCGACGGTAGATTGGACATATTATAAGAGTCTGTAATAGGACCACATAAATAAAGATATTTTGATAATATGACTATTTTGATAATGTCTACTTGTCAATTCAGTATTTTTTTCTACCTATTTTAATACAAAAATTTGAAGGAAATGGGATTGTTACTAATGTGGACTGATAATCCCATTGCTCATTGCTCCACTGGTTCCCCGCCAGCGTAAACTATTAGCGCAGGCGGGTGCATCATTCTATTATCATCCATACGAAAAAAAACTTTATAATAGCTAATGTCAATGTGAAATGCTCAAACATAAATAAATTGTAAAAAAAACTAAATAACGATGAACTTTTATATAATTGAACGTTCTAAAATTGTTTTTCTGCGGACTGGATGTAGGCTTGCTACGGCAAACAAATAGAAAGCCAGTGATGGAATTCATGAAACTGGGCAACTGAAACTGACAGAATCGAATGGGGAAACCAGAAATTATTTTACAAAACCGTCGTACAAACTGCACGGTATCAATTTAGTATGAGTATAACAAAAATAATTTTCACATTTTAATCGATCTACCTGGTTTTCAACCAATCTACCGTCTTGATATAAGTAAACATACGCCCGCTGGATAAGTCTCGGGAACTGGCCCGAATTCCCGCACGGTGAATGTATGGAATGCTAAGAAGTTCGTCTATCTCTGTATCAAAAAGTAATAAAATATAAAAGTACTGAGTTTCTTATCGATTCTTCTTAGTTCGAAAGCAATTTAGCTCGGTAACGGAAAAATTCACATATTATAAGTGTCATTAAAGACTTACATGAATAAACATTTTAATTTAATTTGATATTGTTTTTTAGATTTGCCAAATATTAATTAGTAGGACAGAAGAAACATTTATCGGTAATAAATTAATTTGTTGTTTAACTGTAATGTAGCTACATTCATAGGTATTTACTCATGTGGCCATAGTATGCAGTAAATTATCTGCTGAGAGACAGTTCTCTATGGACCATTTATATTTATGAACAGATGTCAGGCTTGTTATATTGTCATATATAATTTTAAATTGATAGTTTTAAAATTGGCGGTGGTACTAGGCATTTATTTCTGCAAAAGTGCCATTTTTATATAGAATATCGTTAGAAAACTAAACACAATTTATTAAGTAAATAGTGAATTTATACAACGAGTAATTACACTACAGTAATTGTTATAAAAAAAAATGAAGCTAAGGATCAAAGATCAAACAATAAATTCACTATTAACAAGTACGTGTATGTATAAAAGATTATTAAGCATTAGTAGGCATAATGGAAAAGGAGAGTTCTCCTGAATCTTCTCGTAGCCCTATCTACCGTATTACCAAATAATCACACCACTG